GATCACGAAGGCCACTTACAAATTCCAAAACGAAGACAAATACGGGGACAGATACGAAGACAAAAGTAAAGATTAAACGAACAAGAATACGAATACGAACCGAACAAAAAGGCGAAAACGGATACGAAGTGTATACGCAGACGAATACGAAGACAATACCGAAGACTATGGCTAAGGCTAATATAAAAAGTAATACAATTTTCTGCAGTATGCAACGAACAAGCAATTAATCAAAGGAAATTTATCTTTTAAGTGAAACATGATATTTTCCCTTCTGACAGTTTTCCTATTAAATTCAAATGAAAGTAATAATTTTTCTTTTAAGTTGCATTCGTGAAACTGGCTTTGAGTTTTTTCTGAGCACTAACATTTTGTGAATTTCGTCAAATAAAATTCTGGTGAATTTTTCCAACATCCAGCAAATATTTTTTCATCACTGTCATTTTGCTAAATACTTAACGGTTGGCATAGTTTAAGAATCTGTAAATAATGTGTATTTTATATTTTGCTGCCAAAATAATTTATAAAAACAATTTATACATTTTTAAAATGCAAAAACAAACATTGATACTCTTCAAACGCATATGCTAACTAAAAACAAACATACCACTTGCATTTCTTTTTAGCTCTTCGACCCAAAAATGTAAACGTATAAATTATCGCCAAGCGCTGCATTTGTTGGACCTCCGCAACTTTCCACAGCAATTCCACACCCCAGCACCCCCAAAGCGTCGCGTGACTCAATGAAGGGTTTAGATCTCATAGATCAAAATCAAAGGTCAGTATGCATGACACTGTGTAATTTATACCATGTCATTTATAAACTATTCAATTTCACACAACATTGCTTAAACAAATATTCGAACGCTTCATGCGCATGCCAACTAAATTCAATAAATTTTTGGTATTTTTTTTTCTTTTGTTTTTCATGCATATCGGCTGCCATTTTAACAACAAAATCAATTAAAAATTAAATGAAATTGGACTATTATCGCTACTATGAAACAGATCCA